CAGCCCAGCCCGCAGCCCGACAGTTAGGTCTCATAGGAACTAACTTGTCATTTATTATATCTTTTTATCTGTACGTCCGATTCAGACGATTCTTGGACCGTTGGAAAGTTCTTGGGCTCTACTTCAAATTGGGATAGGATTTGGGTAGTCTTGGGATAATTAAATTGGGTCTACTAGGATAATTTGATCCTAAGGGTTTAGAAAACCATAAAATTTACCAGATTTAAAATAAGGTGTCTACAACCGACAGCTACTGGCGGTTTAAATGAGAGAGGGGGGAAAAGGGGGCAGGGAGAAGAGACGAACTGACAGCCACTACCAGTCTAGACGAGAAGAGGGGGAAAGGGAATGAAAGAGAGAGAAGAGATAGACCGACAACGACTTCCGGTCCTGGTGTGAGAGGGAGATGAAGGGGAACAAGAGAGAGAGAAGAGACGGATTGATAACAACTGCCAGTTCAGACGAGAGAATTGACCATCAAAGTGGAAGTTGAGCAACTTAAGAATAACAAATGAATGAAAGAAGCTTATTTTGCTCACCCAACTGTCTTTGGAGTTTGTAAAAGCAATCTCAACGATGAGAGGAGTCCTTTTTGGATTTTTAAAAATCGCTTGTATCTTTTAATCATCGTCAAGCAACAAAGCAAAACCATAAACATAAAGTTGCACAATGCTTAGTTCTCAAACAGTTACTTCAGTAACAACTCATCTCATAAACGCTTTCTTGAGTGACTCTGCCAATGCATTAGTGGTGTTGTCCTAAGTGCACTTTCTACTTCTAATCGATTGATCAAGGGTGTTCTTTACTTGCTTAACCAAGCCCGATGTAAATGAAATAAATATCTTCTTTCAAGCATTTGGAACTCTTTAGCAAAAGTGTAATGAAAAAACTCGAGATCCTTAATGATTGAGAGTGAGTTTGGTTCTCCATTGTGCGTCTTCTCTGGTTGTTATTGTTGGAGTCTGCTTCTTTTTTCATCTTTCTAAAGGCACATTATGGGCGAATTAGATTTCTGGAGGAGTTTGTCGTTTATCCTGTCAGTTTGGATTTCCATATCCATAAGATCAAACCAACCTACAAACTGAAAATCTATAACTTAGGTACATCAAACCTAAAAAGGAAGAAATAGAATGATGACTAGTCGTTTCTTCATGGTCGGAGCTGATGAGCGCATAAACCTAAGTCCAAGGATACAACATCCACAAAAGCTCAAAATATTTGTCCTACGCTGACCTTAAACGAAAATTCCAGCAATATGTCCAAACTTCCACCACTTAAGCGTTTGCCTCCCTTTAACGACATTTTCCCTATTTTCAAAGTACTGTTATGAATACCAGTCAATAGGCTATTTTGAAATACATGTGATTTTGAAATGTATTTCCAATATACACCGGCGACCTTTAATACCTAGATATATATCACATGTAACCTTGCAATTGCCTTCTGCAAAAATATCATAAAGAATATCTAATATGACGTTTGGGCTCCATTCCGTCAGGGGATTCAAGCATATATCGAATATGCCCTTGGAGCGACCTACTATACTATTGTGTTGTCTTTTAAAATATCAACTTATAATAGCTCTTTCTTGAGAGAGTTAGGCATATATAAGATATGCTCTTGCAACTACCTGGTACATGTGAGAGATATACCTTAGGTTGTAAGTTTATTGAGCTGAATGAATTTTTATTTTTTGGGTAGCTCAGTGGGGTTGATAAGCTCCTACTCTTTTTTTGAAACAATCAATTTTTTAATCTTTAGTAATATTTTGGAAATTGGTCAGTCAGCTTTCATCAAGGATTGTCAGATTGTGGATAGCATTTTGGTCGCTCTGGGGGTCATCCACTCTAATATTAGTTAAGGTCAAAGAGATATTATGTGCAAAATTGATTTTTAAAACGCCTATGATTGTATTGAATGGAACAATTTGAGCTAAATTATGAGGCTCACGAGCTTTAGTGATAGAGAACTTGGATATAAGGCTGCCTATCCTTAGCAAGGGGACCATCTTTCTCCTTTTCTTTACGCTCTTGTAGGGGAGTCCTTTAGTCTCATGTTGGAAGGGGTTATTAAGGATGGTTTGTTGCAAGGCCTCCCTGCTTCATTTGTTGGTCCCTATGTTTCTCATCTTCAGTATGCAGATGATACACTATTATTCCTTAAAGGTTCCTTGGATCAGGCTAAACACCTTTGGTTGTTCTTAAAATGCTACCAATTGATCTCTCAAGAAAAAATTAATATGGCTAAGACCATCTTGTTAGGTTTCAATACTCTACTTTCTGAGTTCGGTGAGTGGGCTTGTTGGATGGGTCGTAAAGCTAAGGTCATACCCATCAAGTATTAAGGCCTACCTTTGGTTGAGAGTAGGTTGAGTTCAGAGGTCTGGGACCCTCTAGTAGAAAGGTTTAATACTATGTTGGACTCTTGGAAAAAAAGACATCTTTCCTTACGGGGTAGAATCACTCTTATTAAGGCCACTCCATCCAGCCACTCAGAGTATTTGCTTTCTCTATTTAAGGCCTTAGAAGTTGTCATCAAGAAGTTGAATAAACTTATGAGGAGTTTCCCTTGCAGTAGAAGCTCTAAGAAAAGGAAGTTCAACGTAGTTAAGTGGGCTGATATGTCTCTCCTAAAGAAGGTAGGGGTCTGGGTTGCGGAGGCTTAGGAATTTTAATGAAGCTTTTCTTACAACGTGACGGTGGAGGTTGGCTTCAGCTATAATGAAATTGTGGAATGTGCTCTTTAATAAGTATGGTGTTGATGATTGTGTATTTCTTATTAGAAACATGACTAATGGAGTGTCAGTGATTTATAAAGAAATGCATAAATATATGGGTCTTTTCCTGGCTCAGAGCTGAATATTGGTAGGGGATGCCAGTACAACTAAACTTTGGTCCATTAATCGTTAGGGGATTGCTCGCTTAAAGTTAAATACCCGAAAATTTACCGGTTCTCTGCTAAGAAACAGCTCTTGGTCTCTGAGGCTGTAGTGGGTGAGGGCAATATTCTTACCTGGGACATTATTTTGAGATACAAGAAAATCTCGCCACAGGTGGCAGACCAATTTCAAGAACTTCTCCAAAATCTTTATAGTCACTTTTGATAGGATCATCTGTGAGTTATGTCATGATGGTGCCTTCTCAATTAAGTCATTGTATTCTTTATTGTGTCAAAATCAATATTTCTCTTGTAGAGCCTCTGCTTAGACAGTTTGGGATTATAAGACGCCTCATCTAGTTGGGGCATTTATGTGGTTGGTTAGCAGTGACCGTGCTCTCTAAGTTCAACAACTGCAGAAGAGGGGAATGATCTTACCCAACATTTGCATTTTCTATTAGGAGGATCACATTTACCTTCGTTGCCTGTGGGCTATTAGCTTTTGGGTGTAAGTTCTTTTGATGGTTCATTGTTTCTAGATTACGTCAGAGACTGCTAACCACTTCTTCATCCAGATTCCTTCCCTGCCTTTTTCTAAATTGGGATTAGTTTTAAGGAAAATCATGGTGAGAGCTTTTGTGTGGCATATCTGGAAAGAGCGGATTGTCAGAATTTTTAAGAATAATTGAAGAGACTTGGATATTGTAAAATCAGTTATCCTTAGAGATCTCATTCTATGGGCCCAGTCCCAACAGTCTTTTAGGGGAATTCCTAAAGGAAAATTTGAGACTAATCTGCATCAGCTTATATTTTTCAAAACTTACCCCCTCCCCCCTCCCCTTGTTGACTGGGTGAAGCTTAACTTTGACGATAGTTTCAGGGGCAATGGACAAAAGGCAGGACAAGATATGGGGTTGTCCTTAACGATCACATAGAGGACACTATTTGGACACTGAAAGGAGCCCCCCCACAGTGTAAGGCAATTGACGCTGATTAGATAGCTCCTACTCCCGTGCGATCATTGAGGGGGATTCTTCTAATGTTATCAAGTGGTGCATTAATCCCTCCTCTGTTCCCCAAGAGATGGGTCAAACTCTTTTAGAAATTTGGTTTGCCTTGAGCGGTAGGGATGTGCTCTTTATCCATGTCAATAAGGAGAGGAATTCACTAACAGATTCCCTAGCTAATACGGCTTCCACCCTCTAGTCTTGGTCCTATTCCTTCTCACTTCTTCTCTCGCTATCCATCCCCATTTTCTTCTAACTTCTATCCTAATTCTCTCTCTATTCTCTTTTTCCCTCTTCATCTTTGTTTCTTTTTCCTTCATGAGGAACCCATTTTCTACTTGCTTCTCTCCTAAATCTCTTCCCATCATCTTTCCCCCTCTTCACGTCTATTTCTTTTTCCTCCTTGAGGAATCCATTTTCTTCTCACTTCTATTCTAAATGTCTCTCCATCCTCTTTCCCCCGCTTTACCTATGTTTCTTTTTTGTCTTTGAGGTTTCCTCAGCTCCTTTTGTAGTCTTTACTTTCTTTAAAAAACATTTTGTTAACCAGATAAAAAATAAAGTGTGAATAGAAGTTAAAACATTCAACAGGGACTCAAGTGGTACTGCCACCACAAACCCAGCCCCATTCCCAATCATACATGAAGAGTGGCTAATTGAGAGTGCAAGGATATTCAATCTAGTGAGGATGGACCCAAACCGCATTACAATGAAACTGTTTTTTAGGTATTGGTCTTAGGGTACGTAGTGCTCTAAAAGTTTCTTAAGCTATTAAGCTGTGTCATGAGCCATTTTGTTCATGAGCTGGGTATATTATGTGGAGTGGATCGTCCACCCAAATATTTGTAGTGAATTGGTAGATCGACAATAGATTATCCTAAACAAATCCCAAAAGAAAAAATAACAAACAAAGTCTAAAATAAGGGTTCATGTAGGGGGATTTAGGGGAGGGATGGGGAGTGTGGGCTTGGATACTTTTCTGAGGCGCAGTCTGCAATCTAGATAAAAAATCACCGGGTTCTAAAGCATTAATTTGAACCACTTAAATGGAGACAATTTTAAAACAATAAAGAATGAAAATATAGCTCTTGTAGCTCTTGTATTAAACTATTTAGGTTTCACAGCTGCCATCCTTTAAATAAGTGCACCCATCATGTTGGGCAAAACTGTACATGTCCAACTGTAAGAATTGTCCATAGTCCATAATCGAAGGTGATAAGCATTATTTTCCAACATTAAATAGTAAACAAAAACATAAGAAGACAAATGGAGAAGATGATAGAGATTTATGAATAAAGCACAAGCCATCCTGCCATACAAAACAAAAAATAAAAGGCTCCTCTGAAAGAATCAAAGTGAATAATGTATGCTCGATTTCCCCCTAAGCAAAGGGGAAAATTCACCACCGCAAAACTAAACAAAAAGAAAAGTAACCCAATAACTCTAAAAAATTTCAAGGGAAAAAAAAAAATAGAAGACTTAATAGCCCTAAATGGTAACAGCAACGAGGGCGATGAATGCCAGACCAGCCATCAGCCTTGAAATTGGAACCCGCATTGCTCCATTCTGCCAAACAAAAAAAAAAAAAGGTGAATATGGACATCATTAAAGATACATACAAATAAATGAGAAAAAAAGAAAACAAAAAGGAAAATGGTTTGATAGGGCTGCAGCCCTATCAAAATAATCAAATTCTCACTTCATAACTCATGGAAAATCAGAAGTTTAGCATTGGAAAACCTTTACATTGATCATCTAGACTTGAACATCATGGTGACGAAAGAAAATTAAGATTTTAAGCCCTAAAATAGTATATATTGTAGGAATTTTACACAATGAGACCATTTATCTTTTATACAAGATAATCACAATTACTTACAAACATCCAATGATTTGATAGCTTGGATGTGCTACAAAGTTCGAAAAAATTTCTTTTGAAATTTGAGCTTGGTCAATGGAATAATTGCATCCACCCAATTTCATATCAAATAGTCAATATCAATGCGACCACCTTATCCCAAAAGTAAATAGTAGCATTCTATACTTTCCCCATATTATATTGTAACAAATTATCTAAACTATCCATTTTGTTTTAAAAATAAGTGTTAAAAAATCAACGTGATGTGTATCATTTTTTGAGCTTCAAAATTTATAGTCCTTGTTGGAAATTAATTTTAGATCTATCATAGAGATTTTTGAAACCAAAGTACTTTACAAATGAGGATTTAAATGAGGCTTTTGTTTTGTTTTGATAAAGCCTAGCCCATATAAAAATCTCATAATAAAAATAAAAAATAAAAAAAATAGCTACTAATAAACTATGGAAAATGATTTGATAGGGCTACAGCTCTATCAAATAAGTACGGCCTCACCTTATGATTCATTGAAAATTGTAATTCATTTATTGAAAAACTTTTATATTGATCATCTCAACTTGAACATTGCGGTTATGAAGAAAATTAGTATTTCAAGTGCTATCAACATTTCAAAATTTTATAGTCCTGTTTGGAAATTAATTTTAGAGCGATCATAAAGATTTTTTAAACCAAAGTATTTTACAAATGAGGATTTAAAATGAGGCTTTTTTTTGTTTTGATAAAACCTAGCCCTTATAAAAACCTCATTAAATAAAAAAAATAAAAAAAATAAAATAAAAGCTGCTAAAAACTATGGAAAATGGTTTGATAGGGCTGCAGCTCTATCAAAATAAATAAAGCCTCACCTCATGATTCATTGAAAATGGTAATTCATTCATTGAAAAACCTTAATATTGATCATCTCAGCTTGAACATTGCGGTTATGAAGAAAAATTAGTATTTAAAGAGCTAAAAATAGTGTATGTCAAATTATCTAGATTGTCCATTTCATCCCAAAAATAAGTATTCATAGATCCACATGATCTGTACATTTTTTAAAGGTCAAATTTTATTATCTGCGTTTAAAATTGATTTTAAAGCCATCATAGAGATTCTATTGCTAAAATTACTTTTCGGATGAGGATATGAGATGGGTCTTTATTTTGTTTTCATGAAGCCTAGGCTTTATAGAAACTTCATCCATAAACTATTGTACGGAAACGATTCACCCCCTTGCCATATCAACCGTTCATAACAGAATGGACGGTCAATGGAATCCTCAGTGTAGAAGAGTCATCATGAACGGCTGAGGAAAGCAGTTCATCTCCAACATCAGTGCGCATGGTATGGCAATGTAGCATAGATAACATGTCAATCACTAAACAGAATGAAGCGTAAATGTGCATACCCCATCAGGTTCAGGTCCAGGCGAAACCACGTCCTCTGCAGGGCTTGGCGCCACCGGCGGCGCAGGCGGGCTCGCAACAACAGGGGCAGGGGCGGGCGCCTTGGAATGCTTCTTCTTCTTCTTCTTCTTCGACTTAGTCGGTGAAGGCGCAGGTGAACTAACTGGTACAGGCGCAGGAGGCGCACTCACAGGCACAGGAGTAGGGGGCGAACTCACTGGCACAGGAACCGGTGGTGCGCTGACAGGCACTGGTGCAGGCGGCGAGCTGACCGGCACCGGCACAGGTGGAGGCGAGCTGACAGGCACTGGTGCGGGCGGCGAGCTTACAGGCACAGGTGTCGGTGGGGAGGCAACTGGTGGTTGAACAGGCGCTGGAGGTGGTTGCATTGGTGCGGCGACCGGTGCTGTCGTGGCAGGTGCAGAGGCTGCAGGTGCGATGACAGGCGCTGGCACTGCTTGGGCAGGTGGCTTGGCGGCGACTACGGGAGCAGGGGTGGTGGGGGTGGTCGGGGCAGGGGTGGCGGGGGTGGAGGTGGTGGAGGGAGAGGCGGCCGGAGATTGGGCATGGGAGCGGATCGCGGCAACGAAAAGGAGGAAAGCCAGGAGGAAGAGCCTCGAACGCTGCGTAGCCATCCTGCGCGAGCCTGAGAAAAGAGACAGATCGGAGTTGCAGGGGCTGTGAGCGTGGTGGATCGATCGTCTCTGAAATGTGAATAAATACAACTGGGGTGGGGCCAGGGTTTGGTGAGGTTTATTGAGACACAAGGCAATAACATCTAGTACTAAACATTTGGGGCTATTTCTTTTTGTTTTCCTTTCTGTTGCCTCTCAATGATCTGCGCAATTGGTGTTTAATTTTCCTTAATAATTCACCTAAAATAAGGTAATAAGTCGCCTTCGAAAAGATGCTATAGTTACAACTCCCCTTCAATGAATTTTATAAAGGGATAGTAAACAATGAGACCACTTACTATTATTTATGACGATCCGATATAAAATATGATGGCTTGGTGTGTCACAAACTCCAGAAGATTTATTTTGTTCTTTGAATTTGGTAGATGGAATATATGCATCTAACTAATTTTTTATCTAATAGTCAAGATTAATTGTCACCGCCTTGTACTAGAGATAAATGGCCTTATTATATACTTTTTTCTTTTACACATAAACCTCTATCATATTTTTTCACTCCATTTATTTATTTTTATATTTGTTTTGGATTCATCTCACCTGAATGAAATTTTAGCACAAATTTACGGTGGCAAACTAATGACTCGTCAATATATGAATCTAGCAATTGTTTTTTTAGCACAATATTTTAAAACTCAGATCGGTGGAGTGTATCATTCACCCGTATATTTGTGCCAGACAACTATATTGGCGATCCGGATTAGGTCTCGATCGGTCAAAATCAGTGAACTAAAAAATATTTTTAAATAAATAAAATAAAATAAGAATTAGAATAGACATGTATGGGTTGGGATATATATATATATATTGATGAAAAAGCCTTTTCAACGCCTATAGGCGAAAATAAATAGTGATTTCGTCTACCTTCATCACTGTCCAAATTTCATCTCACGGTCACAATTGTCCGATAGTATTTTATGTTTCATTTTTTTTTTACAAATCGGAATGATTTGAAATTTGGAAGGTATGTACATCTTGTTGAGGCACATCTAATAAAAATATAAAAAAAATTATCCATGAAATTAAATTAACCAACATACCTCCGAAAATTTTCGGGGGTATTTTGGTCAAAGTTTTTCATGTAAAATATTTTTTATATAATTATAGAAGATTCCCCTATTTTTTATGAATACATGCTCCAAATTTTATGCCATTCCGATTTGTAGAAAAAAAATGAAAAATAAAATACTACCGGACAATCATTACCGTGCGATGAACTTTGGACGGTGATGGGGGGTAAGCGAAATCGC